TGAGAATAGTCTAAATAAAATTTTGACTGGTCGATAACCAATATTGTATTATTACGGTTCCAATCGGGTATCGTGGGATACTTGTAGGAACAAAGTTCCTTTAGCTAAAATAATAGTAACGCAATTGTCTAAAAAAATACTAATTGTCATTTAATTTATTTATTTTTTGCTTTCTATTTGAATTTTGGTTATTGATTTTTAAGTACAGTATTTTAAAAAATAAAAGTTAACATAAAATAAAAAAGGAAAAAGAATAGTGATTTAAATGATTAAATAAAAAAATTATTGCATAATATTTGAACAATATATTTTAATTATATTATTATAATAGTAAAAAAAATAAGTAAACAAAACATTAAGAACATTCATATGTGAATTATGGAATAATGACACATGTACATTGCTTATATATACATATGTATCTTTAATATATAAAGGTGCAACGGAGTAGGATAGGAAAAAGAAGATAACACAGTGAGGAACAGGGAGAACGAGAAATGTATTTTACACTAAACGTTTGCATTTATTAATGGATATGTATAAAGAACATCGTAGCTTTTTTTCGTTATATAATTTCATTACTCGACTTGTCTCGTATTTTTTTGAGTTAGGTTCCGCCGAAAAACCCATAATATCCTTATCCCCACCTGCCGTAAGGCACTTCTTTTCCATAGGTTCCCATTTAATTTTCGAAAGTTACCTCTAAAATCTACCCTTAGAAATAATATATTCTTACAATATAATTTACACTAACAGTTATTAATAAATATAAATTTAATGTCAATCTATACATATAAATAAAAAATCATTTTTTTACAAAATAATGGGAACTTTTTTTTGGTTTTATGGTATTTACATGACAGCTGTATCTTTACAAGAATGCCTCTCATTAAATATTATTAAATTTAAAATGATTTTCTTTATTCATTTTTATTGTTAATACAAGTTTTTAATACACTAAAAGAGGCAACAGGATAATTTATTCCCCAAACCTACCATACCTCCTTAACCAGCAAACAAGAATTTATTTAATTCATAATCGCCGAAACCGAATGTAAAAAGAACAGTCATTAAGTCAAACATTTATTATTATATTTTTTCTAAATTAAAAAAACAAATTATACTTTATTCTATTTTAATAAAGTTATAGTTGGTGAAATGATTTTTAGTTTCATAAATTTTTGGCCTATCATTAACTTACAAAAGTGGATAATTGATTTATTATCCACAGTTTTAAAAATAAATCATTTTTATTATAATTCAACGACCTATAAAATAAGTTTTAACTAAGTAAGTAAACATATTGAGTATACTAGTNACAGTCATTAAGTCAAACATTTATTATTATATTTTTTATAAATTAAATAAACAAATTATACTTTATTCTATTTTAATAAAGTTATAGTTGGTGAAATGTTTTTTTAGTTTCATAAATTTTTGGCCTATCATTAACTTACAAAAGTGGATAATTGATTTATTATCCACAGTTCAAAAAATAAATCATTTTTATTATAATTCAACGACATATAAAATAAGTTTTAACTAAGTAAGTAAACATATTGAGTATAATAGTANAAAATAAGTTTTAACTAAGTAAGTAAACATATTGAGTATACTAGTAAAAAAACATATAAAGGGCTACAATTAAGTGTTATAACACATGCAATAAACTTTATAGTATAATATAAAATATTAAACAATTGAAAGCAAATTTAAAGTATACGAAAATATATGGTAAATAAAGAATGATTTTATGAGTCCAACCTAAAGAACGACAACAAGTAATAGAATAAAGATAACTTTATCCATTTAATACACCAGCTTACTTTTAATATTTATATTACTATATTTTATCACTAATTATCAATATCTAAATTAACATAGTTAATTAATGTTTAACTAAAATTATAACTTAACTTAACCATAGTTTAAAGGTATTAAATTATATTGCCTGTACTATACTATCCTAAAATGAGTAATAAATACTAATATTGAATTTTAAAACTGAAAATATTTACGATAAATTTTATTCAAAATCAAATTAAGCCAAATTTTGAACTTTTCCAGTTATTTTCAATCAGGAATAATATCAACAAAAAACTCAAAGCACAAACGAGTAGTTATTATGTTAAGTCAAGATAAGTTAAACTTTTCTTCAACAGAAATATTTAGATATTATATTAGCTCAATTTTCTTTTATTCATTTAAACGACAAAATAACTTATTATTTGGTATTTTTCGTAAAATAGCTCTTTTTAAAATAATATTCTTAATATTATGAAATTTTTTTTTTATTTTGTTGGAAAATGTTTGTCTTTGACGTTTAATTTGTTCAATAAATATGTGACATCTGATTTATTGTTTCTTGGTGCTTAATATCAATAATAATAAAAAACTTACAAGTTTCGTATAAGTCAAGTTTGTCAAGTATCAAATAAACAGGGGAAAGGGTTCGTCTATAAAATTTTTAAAAAATGTTTTATTACAAAAAATAAATGGAAAAGTTTTGTACTCCAAATAACTTTTACTACCCTACGCTTATGATATTTTCGCAAATTTACTGTTCATTGCATTAATTTGAATCGTTAAGTTAATGCAGTTAAGTTAAAATTTATGAACTTTTCCAGCCTTGAATAAAATAATATCAAATTAAATTTCAGTAACCTAAAGACATATAAATAAATGTACTATACTCAAAATTTTTATCCATTCCTTACCACACTTTAAAAATAAATTATCAAAAAATTAGTATTATATTTGAACTCTGCAACTTCAAATCCCTATGTGTTCACTTTTCTTTGTTACTAAATAATAAATTTTAGCTCGTATTAATTTTGATTTTGGAACACTAATTGTTAGTAATTATTCAGTGAATATAAATTAATAATTTAATAGAAATGGACAAAAACAATCATCCCGAAATAAAGTTATGTATCCTAACTTACGATTGAAGTACCATAATCTATATTAAATAAGATTTTAAAATTCATTTACTCTTAAAAAACTTACTCTAATTTAACATCAGGAGAATGGTTAATGCTATAAATTTTAGCTCTCAGATAACGTGGTAATGTTGGCCTAATCTTTTGAAGATCTATACTTTCATACTCACTACCTAAGTTGACGACTACAATATATGTTGGATAATCCTCCAGAGCTCTTAAAAACCAAAAAAATAATTAATCGTTATTACTTAGTAAGAAAAATTATAAGTTAATTATATATTTATAATACAACTGAATTATTTACTAGAGTATAAATAGCTATTTTTAATTACCTTATAAAACCAAATACCCATTCAGATGCTTCAAATAATTGTAAATCCCCATGTGTTATTGTTTTGGATTTTCTTAATTGTACCAATTGCTTGTAAACTTTTAAATGACTGTTTGTGTATGATTGCGCTTCCACGTTATTTATCCAATAACTTGGATCTACAGGAAGCCATGTTTTCTTAGCACTTGAAAAACCTTTAGAATTAAAGTTTAAAATATACTTAATTAAAATTCAATTTATAGTTATTTAACATTCTATATGGATGCCATAAATATGTAGATAAATTATGGTATAAAATATTAAATAAGTCAGAAAAATATTACTTTTAAAAAACGCATTCGGCAATAGTTTCATGAAATTTTCATTTTATAATCTATTAAAGAGACAGTAGTACTATTTAAAAATTTTTTATAACTTTCAAGTAAAGAAATATATTTTTTATTTATGAATGTTTAATATCTTCTTTGAAAGCTATTGCTTATATTAGTGAAGACGATTAATATGTATGCAAAATTATTCGTATTAAAAGATCTAATTTATTAATTTTTATTATTTACCTGCATTAAGGTCATCATTCCAAATGAATGGACTTCTTTCTGGATCTCTACTAAACAGCTGATAACGACTTGACCCAACATTCAATCCAGCATTGTCAACTGTTTGATCCCATCGAATAAATGTATTTTCCATACCAAGTTCATCACCATTATACGTAACAGTGGTGCCAGGCAAAAGAAGTTGTATCATATGAATACCATCAACAAGATTTGAATCTAACCTTGAAGCTAATCTTGGCTGATCATGATTTCCAAACTAAAATATTTTACACAAATTATTGGTTTTCATCTAATTATATCACTGTACAAATTAAATAACATTAATATTTGCTTACAACCCAATTTGGCCATTTGCCAGCAGGTAAATTGTCTAACCAAGAAGCAACAATATCTATAGCTTTTGAAGCATTAGACTGTCGATTGAACTGTTGAATGAAAAAGAAGTTGAAAGGAAAATGAGCTCCTGGTCTTGCATCGGTGCCATAGTATTTCATAATTTTATCAATGGGCGAATAAGTTTCAACCATAAAAAACCTATTGTAATTAGCATTTTATTAAATTATCTTTTGTTCCGATATAAAATACCATAAAAAATCTGTATAAATAAAAATGTTGATATTTTTTCCTTAAAATAGTATAGTTTACTTTGTTACATCTGATCCTTTATTTTCATAACTGTCTAACACTTCTCGCCATTGCTGAACCATGTCAAAGGTTTCTGGTTGATCTTGAGTGTAAGGATGATCTAAATAATCATAGTCGGTAGGTAAAGCATCTGATTTGCTTGATTTTGGTTCATCCATTAAGTTTTCAACTTCAAATAGAGCTGGAACCGCATCAAACCTAAAGCCATCTACACCACGATCCAACCAATAACGCATTACATTCTAAAACCATATATTTTTTTTAAACAATTTGCATATTAATCCTTTAAGTTCTGAACACATCGCATAATTATACCTTGATTTCTTCTACAAGAGCTGGGCATCTATAGTTTAAATCTGGTTGTTGAACCAAAAATTGATGAAAATAATATTGCTGACGTTCTTCGTCCCATTCCCACGCTGATCCACTATTGAATACCGATAACTAAAATAATTACATTATTTGTAAATAATATACTTAGCGTGACACAGTAACATTAGTTACGTATTTATTTCTTATTTTAAAGAGGTTAAATGTTACATTTATTAATGTTATGAATATTTTAAATAAAACAAATTAATAAAATCAAATCAATAATTCAACTTCAGGCAACAGAATAATTCTAAAACGCAATTATTAAAGGTATGAAACTGAAAACGGGTAGGCTTGAAACATATGTTCAATTTTTTAGTTAAATACAAATTATAAACATGTAAATTTTAACTTTTAATTGAAATAATAAAAAAAATGTTTTAATTTCTGCATGTGTAAGAGACGTATGGTATTGGAAAACTTTATAACTTCTTTTCCCTATGATGAAATATAGAAATGATTCTGTTTTTATGAATTTCAATAGACGTAAGACACCGAAATGTAAGTGTTAGGATAAAGATGATTGAGACATATATTTGTAGCAATGTATATATTATACGATTTATGGATATTAATTACGTATGTAGTTTTACCTACCCAATTATTTGGAGGTATTCTTTCACCTTTTTCATTTTTAGCTGCATCTTTCCATACATAGTAGTCGGTATATGGTGCTATTCTTTTCACTGATTTTTTAAACCATTCATGCTCATGGCTAGAATGATTTGGTACAAAATCTAAAATAACTTTGATTCCTTAAAAATAAAAATATAAACATTTTAATGGACCTGCAATATAATAACATAAATATTGATAACGTAAATAATCCAAATAAGTATGCATTAAATATATTTAATTTATATAAATTTAATATTATAGTGTATTAGTACACTATAATATTAGTATGGATTTCTTATTTTAAATTCTAGAAATTATTTTTAAATGGAATTCAATTTATAGTAAAACTGAATTTTCTAAATTAATAAAATCAAATGTGTTGCAAACTGAAAATCAAATAATTTTTAAACATTATCGTAAATATAAAATATTATTTTAATAATTTGTAATTTAACATATGTTTATATTATTTACTATTAATTCTATGTTTCGAAAAATTTGGCTTATCAATTAAAATTTCTTATAGAATGAACACAAATAATAATTTTAAAAAAATTTTTAGTAAAATAGTAAATTCAACACATTGCTCATGATGAGCTTTGAAAATCATAGCAATTACTATTATTCTTATTTATGTAACAATTAAGTCACATAAGTGACAATTTTGAACTATTAGAAACTGAACCCCCAATTTTTGTTTTCCATTAATCAACATGCTATTCTTAACTAATTTTCACGTATTCTTTAAATTGTATTTTATTTTAATAAAATTATGATTCTGAAAAATCTATTTTCTTAGTTTTTTAGTTTAAACTAAATAAATTCTTACCCGCTTTGTGACTTTCATCAATTAACTTATCAAAATCATCTAGGGTACCATATGAAGGGTCAATATCTCTGTAATCGGATATATCATATCCTATATCATATTGAGGAGATTTGAAAATTGGTGATAACCAAATAGCTCCAACTCCCAAATCTTTAAGGTATTCTATCTTTTCTGTGAGACCTACAAATTTAATTAGATTATTAAAATAAATATATAGTATATTCTTTCACTAAAAATAAATCTATACGCAATGTAATATTATATTATAATAATTCATTTGTAAACAAATTTGAAATAAATTATTGATTTATATTACTCCAAAATATTGTATATATAATTAATAAATTATTTGTTCATATCTATTAGATTTTATTCATTTATTAATGTCAAAAATGTAATGCTGTGTAATAATTCCTCTAACACGTCTTAACTCACATTATGTTCAAAGAAAACATGTAAAAATCTAATAATTGTGTATTTGCTTAGAAAAATAGCACCAAATTTATACACTGTAAGATGTAATCCAAACATTTCCGTACTTTGATCTAATATTATAATAATACACAAGTAGTATAATATTGACGTTAAGTATTGAAAGTTTCAATTTTTTCCTTACATTGTTTACGATAAAAACTTTCAGCACATGTTTATGAAAATCCAGACAATTTTTTTAGTATTTTAGCTTCGATGTGAAGGTATAATTTGGCTATGATATGTTTTTTTTGTCTGTTACCACTTTTTCCTAGCTCTCACCGAACTAATTTCTTTCAACGATACGTCAAAAGATCAGAAATCGTATCTAGTCGAAGAAATTACCTTCAAGAATTAAAAAAGTTTCCCCCGTTCATCGTAAATGAGGGACATCTCCAAAAAATTACAAATTTAAAAATCGCTAATTTTCGAAATTTTTTTTACTTAAAACTTTTTTAAAATGAACAAATCGATGTAATTTTTTTTTATAGATACATGAGGTTACCTATCATTTTGTATATTTTTTTTATAAATCCGACCGTTTACCTGACTACAGGTACTCTATATTAAATAAATGTACTTAATATTAAATTAAAGTTAATGTAACATACTTTATTATGGAAAAAAATTTCGGACTGTATTTTGTCTTCACGTTGAAAATGACTACCCTATGCTATTTATGTGTTAAAATTCTCGATTTTATATTTTTAACTTTATAATGCTATAGCTTTTTGAAAAATGTATGAATCAATACAATTTTTTTGTGAATTATAATATTTATATACTTCTTTCATTCGACATACTTTTTTTTTTTAATCGGATCATTTCCTCTTTATACAGAGTGGTTCAGAACTTATGAATGCGTATAGAAAGTAGAACTTTTTCAACTTACTTTTAATTAAAATATATTTATTAATTATTCATACATAATCTAGTGATAAAATATTTGTTATATTAATTAGAAGTATTTTGCTATTATTTAGGTCATATACGAAATTGTAATTGCAGATTTTTCTTACCATGCAAATCTCCAATACCATCCCCATCACTATCTTTGAATGACCTTACATATACCTGGTAAATAACACCGGATTGCCACCATTTTAATATTAATGAATCATCATACTTTGGATATATGAATCCCGAAAATACCACACTTTGACAAACAATCAGTCCAAGACAAAATAAAATACGGAACATTGTTATTATTAATTTAATACAATTTTAGAGGACTAAATTTCACAATATACTGCCGGATTTTTACTAACTACGATAACTATAATTACTTTATTTATATTTAATAAAAGCAAATTTTATTCGTGATAAAAACGCACTTCACATAATCTAATAATTAATAAAAATATTTTAACGCCTTGTTTCAAAATTCTAGACAGTGTTTTTATAATTCAATTGGTATACATTAGAGGTACTTATAAATCGATGAGAGTATTGTCAATTAAGGATTTCAGCACTTTGCAATTAAGTGCTCTAAATAATTAATAGAGCTACCAAAGGCGACATTTATTTTGCTACTAGAAATATTTGGTTTTCCAGTTGAAAAAATGTTAAGTTTTATAAATAGCATTTTTAACGATTTGTGTACAAAATTATAGCCAATGTCAAAATGAATTATATGTGAAAATGTTGCTTGTTAAATTAAATTGGCGTGAAATGTAAAATAAACTTGTAATTTATAATAACAAAATACGTATATAATTATTTTCAAATGATCCGTGTGATTAGACCAGTGCACAATTCAACTCTCTCCAGTTGTTAAATAATAGTAAAGTTCAGTTCGGCATGACGAACCGGCAAATTTCATAATGGGACATATAGAACTATGATGGCGTACAAAAATACAGTCGCGCCAGTGTAGTCCTGGAGAAAAATCCAAAACCAATAGCGCATAATATTTTCTTCTATTATTAGTTTTAACTCGTGCGTTCCGGTTGCTCCGAGTGTGGTCCCTGCTCACAAAACAAACCTCCCATCGTGTTACCCAGTGGGTCTAACTGACTTTTTGTCGAATAAACAAAAAAAAAACAAAAAAAAAAGAAATCATTCCCATTCATTAGTGAATAGAGGCCCGATTTTCTGTCAATTATTATTCATCCATTTTGCCACCGACTTCGTAACGATCACACAGGACCACCAACCGTTACCCGCGGTTTTATATGTGTTTTTTGTCCGCATCCGGACAGCACTTTGTCCCGTATACACTGCAATAATTATTAGTGGATAATGTGGAAATTGCAAAATTCACGTTGTCTTTGGGGTCGCACGCAAGTAGTACGCACTTCTGGACAATTGACATTGTCCACGGACAGTGTGTTTTCTGCACAGATTAGATTGATTACCAACATTTGTTTATAGTCGCGACCTGACTGATTAAAACGATCAGATAGGGTTTGTATAAATGTAGAAATATTTGGGGGTGTACATGCAGTCCGATTTCAATGGATCGCTAATGAAACGAGTACACGCGACAGGCGCTATAGGGAGTACATCGGCCAAGATCTAATCTACCAGCGATGATTTACTTTATTTAATTATGTCATAGAAGAAAATCGAATTATGGTGGTTATTTACTCCCCGTTGAAAAAAGAAACTGATACGCTTTTAGTACAAAAACTGCATTAGCCGTTCTCTACGGTTAACGAACACAAGTGCTCACGGTCTTGACAAAACGTACGAAATTTCGGTTGAATTCAATTGTTTACAATACAACACATTATTAAGAAATATTATCTCGAGTTTTTGTTTATCTATAGCCCAGATAACATTCAAAAACCAATCATCGCATAATGTTTACCTAGACACTTGATAGATTTTTTATAGAAATACTCATCAAACTATTGTAAACATTTATATTATGTCTAATTAAACATTATTTAGGTAATTTTTATACAACTAATGAAAATTTTAACCTTAAAATATTATAAAATCCGCAACCTTTTTTTTTATAGTTTTAACAAGTACTAAAAACAAATGTGATAACTTTCAACGTCGTCTTCGAATCCTACTAAAAAGAAATTTTTTCTCTGAAAAATATAATTACATAAAATTAATTATACGCTGGTTTTTTGTTTTGATCGAGTATTGTTTGAAAATTATATTTGGCAAGTTCTAATTTAAACTAATTTTGTTATTTTTTAATATTAATATGAACATTTCCAAAAGAAAGTTTATCAATACTTTTGAAACTATTGATTTTAATCGTAATTCGATTATAAAAATAACCATATTTATATAATTAATATAATTTTTCTTGGCATTTCGGCGATTTTTAATTATAATTATAATGTGGTTAAATTGTATGCGATATTGTAAAATTTCTCGATAGGATTAGTATTTAATGTAAGTTTTATAAATAATTAAGCGTACAATTTTTTTACAATCGAAACAAATCGGATTATTTTTAAAAGTTTGCTCTTCATACGCTTCCTCATATTACTAATTAATTTAAATGCATGGAAAACAGACTATTAGCTAATATCGACACTTTTATTTGGCTGTCTTATCAAAATAAAGTGTTGTTATTTACATTTCGATAGACATTATTTGTCAAATTTTAATGATAAAAAATAAAAATTCATGATTTTGAGTATTCAAATCGGTCGAGTGCAAAGGGACCCACCAAAGGATAGTAAAAAACCGTTTAAAACTCTCAGTGATCATTACATAATGTTAATGCCATCAAGAGTCGATCGTTTGTTGGCGGCGAGTATGTCTGTACGCGTACACACGCCGTGGGAAGTCTGACTACCCGCGGGCACGAGCGGTTTTCGCGTTAAGCAAAAACAATATCATGAAAATTCCAAAAAATTGAGCGCCCATCGAAGCAGAATGTATTGCGTGTGGGCCAGGTGTCACTTTTTACAGCATGCGACTGCAAAAGCTTTCGAGTGCCAGAGTGATGTGGAATTAAATGTTTTTCGTTAGCCAAGCTGCAATGAACAACTACTAGACAACGTAAAACTGTCGAGAATCAGTATGGTTCTCGATTTTTTATGTTGAAAGGAATAGGATCTATTAAAACAGTGCGAGCGGTTTGGTTCAAACCGCGATCTATAGATAAGATTATTAATAACAACAACAGCGTTTCAATCGATGTGTAGTGTAATGATTATTATTGAAGGTACAAGACAACAATGAACTCAAACAATATGTATTGGAAAGATATAAAAAAAAAACAGTGTATTAATACATTATTATTATTATTATTATTACTATTATTAACACTGGACTATAAGGAGACGACAAGACGATAAATTGATGATGCACCGCACGCTAAAGCAAGTGTTCATTATAACCACCCTATCGCCGCTGTATTTTTTTATCACAAAACATAATACTTGATTACAATAACAATGATACAAGTAATATATTGTTGTTATTTATTGTGTGAGAATTAGAAGAAGAAAAGTACGAGATGTTTTTTTTCGAGTCCAATGTAAACTCGACGTGCGCCTCCTACAATAGAACAGCCTCTTATAATAGTTAAGACACGTTATGAAAAGGACCGAACAATGTGGAGGAGCCAGTGCTGTGTGCATCTCATTCATCGCCACTCCACTGCACGTTGATCTAAAGACGTTATTTATACGGTCTTAAGCGGCTTTATAATTGTCGTAGCGCCCATAAAGAAAAATCATTTTTTTTTTCATTGTGCAATATACCTTTATAACACGCACCCTTGTAAGTCTCAACTTAAATCCTATTGCAATCGACTTAACCCTTATTTCAAGTACTAAAAAAAATAGAAATGCTACAACTCCGCAGAACTAAAACAACTTGCTGTTATACTAAAACTAAAACTTATTAGATAAGTAATACATTGTAAGAAATTATCCAAACATTTTTTATGAGTGTACAAAACAAGTTAAAATTATTGTTAATACCTTAGTAAAATAATGTTATCTAATATGTATGTGACGTTTAAACTACGCGGCGAAGTGACCTAAACATCAGGTAACATAAACACATTTTGTTGCCTATTCCATGTGATAAAGGGATTTTTAAACACATACTAGAAAATCACTTGTTTAAGTTTACTTATAAAACTTTTTACTTCACTTGTCATTTTTAACGCTACGGCGTTATATTTTATAATATATTAAAATTTTTGTTCTAAGAATCAATTGACTGAACATAATATTGTTCTAATTTTAGATTGTTATTATTAAGTTTTTTAGAATGTTATCGAAAGACAGGGTTTTCACGTTTTAAACTGTTCATTTATACTTCAAACAGATTTGTTTAAAACATATTTTAAACAACCTTGTCGAAGGATGACAAATATTGTACTGTTGTATTATCATGACTCTTATGTGATAATATCACATAATAATCATATTTTAAAATCACAATATTGATACGAGTATAACGGTATTTATGAATTGTCATTAAAAAAACATTGAACAGCCGATTAGATCATGAAATTTCGGAGATACTGGCGAATCGTCTATTGAACACGGAATCATCTTGATGACTTTGGCACCCGACAAAAATAATACACAATAACTTCAACAATAATATTTCTAACAAAGAAAAGTAATTAAACGCAATAAAACAAAAGGATCCGCCAAATGATACACGAGTTAATTATAATTCTCCTACTCTTGCATTACTCCTGTATTGCGTGCACGTTCGCCATCGCCGCACAAACTCTTGAAATCATCGTCATCTCTTATTTCTCGATAAACAATGCTCGTCTTGATCACGCATGCCGCCGCCGCCGCCACACAATGCAACAAAAGACAAAAAAAAAAAAAAANCGTTCGTCCGCATTAATCACCCGGCCGATGCAAAAAAAAAAAAAAAAAAAAAAAAAAACCACCATTATAGACAGAGCGAGACATGTAGAAACGGGGTCAAACAATTTGTGTTCTGCGATAATTATTAAACAACAATATAATAAATAATAATCTCTATTGTACTCGCCTAGATGTAGAAATACCTTCGGACACTCCTAAATCGGCATGTGCCGCTGCAGCAAAAACACTCATCGAACCACAGCACTCCTGAAGGAGCCTCGAGTGGCAAAGAACGCGTGTGCCGCTGATCAAAGGCACTCCAAGAACAGTGCGCTCATAGTAATCTAAAACAATGATAACTATTAGGCACCGGGCAATTTCGTTGATAACTGATTTTTTAATCCGGCGGTATAGTGCAAATGTACAGAGCACTCGGGGACGTTACTAACTCAGCAGGACAACCGTACAGTTGTGAGCTTTGAGTGTTCTGTAGGTAAGCCGGACTTGATGTGAAGTCAAGAGTG